AACCGTGCGAGTCATTACATATATAAATCCCAAATAGTCCAAAACCTATAAGAGCAAGGTTTTTCCAATCCGCAAGGACAATAAGTTTTTCTTTAGGTTTTTCCAATCCGACAAAAAGAATAAGTTTTTCTTTTCCTAATCTATTATAATAATGCATTTTCCAAACCTATTAGGATTATGGGTTTCTTAAAATTACAATGAAATAATTCAAGCTATAAATAACAATTTTTTCCCTTGGCTTGAATTCCTTTTATCAACAGGAACAACATCTCTCTGTCTTATCCTCAACCCTCGTAGGGGCTTTACCCATTGCCGCACAAATCAGCGAAGTATAGGCAATACCTAAACTTGTTCAAAGATCCAATCTCTTTAGTCATAGCACTAATTTGTCGATTTGGTTCCGTACTCGAAATAGCTTCTAGATAGCTATTACATTCAAGTGCATCAACAGTCTCTACGACTCCAAAAGCAAATCCCACAAGATTTGTATATCCAAGAAGATTCCCATCAACTACGTTTGCAAACCTTTGTAGTCGGTTGATCAATCTCTTCTCTCTGCTAGTTGCAATGATATATTGTTGATGTTGCACAGGTGCATCAATATTATCATCTTGATCAATATTTTTCACCTCATCCACTCCCTCTACTTCTGAACTACTAGGCTGAGTTAGTGGTGATTCACTTTTTAGCTCTATGCGGTCACTGATACCATAATCTATTTCTGTTATTGCCTTGTCTCTGATTTTTCAGTGAGGTAGATTCATTGAGTGTCACATCCTTACTGATAATTATCCCTGGAATCTTTTGATCTGTTCACCACAACCTACAACCTTTTACTCTAGTTGCATACTAAAGAATATGCACTTCTTTGCCCTCGGCTCAAGTTTTTTATCCCTCACATGAGCATAAGCAGGATACCAAATAAATCAAATTTGAATACTCAGCAGGCAATCTGGACCATACCTCAAAAGGAGTTTTAAACTCAATAGCCATTGATGATGATCTGTTGACTAAATAACAAGCTGTATTGATTGCTTTAGCCCAAAAATCCTTGCTAAAACATGAGTGTGAAAGCATGTTTCGTATCACAAAGCATTCTGTTCGTACATTCTGCAACATGTTGTGGTGTTCTGACACAAGTGTGATGTCTCACTATGTCCTTTCTTCTACAAAAATTATTAATTCTAAATTGCGAAATTCCAACCCATTGTCAGTCCGAATACGCTTAACTTTTCTTTTTGTTTGCCACTCAACCATCATCTTCCATTTGACAAATGTCAAAAATTCCTCATTTTTTATTTTCAGAAAATACACTCACACCATTCTTGAGTAATTATTAATCAAAGTCATAAAATATCTGGCACCACTCATTGAGAGAACTCTATTTGGACCCCACAACTCTAACTACATATAATTTAACTTGTCTATGATCTTGTGCTCTATTTTCTAGCAGAATTTTATCCTTGTCTGTTTACCAAATACATAATGCTCACAGAAATTAAAATCTTAATTGCTATACCCATCAAACAAATTCTTCTTACTCAATAAAAACAATCTCTTGTCACTCATATGACCAAGTTGCAAGTGCCACAATTGAGACTAATTCATATTACTTTTTTCACAAGATACAATAACTTTTCGTTCAATTACACTGACTTGAAGACGATACAAGTTATAATATGATTTACCCTTCATGAATACCATCGAGCCTTTACACACTTTAAGTATTACATTCTCGGAGTAGAACTTATACCCTTGATCATCCAAAGTCGAAAGAGAAATCAAATTCCTCTTTATCCCACTCATCTGCTTGAAGGTTGCAAACTAATTCTTGCGTGGACATATGTGAAAAGTAGCATCATAATGAAGAACCAAAAAAGTCTTCCCATGATTAAAACTCACAACACAGACTTCTCCTACATAGTCAGTATCATTGGAATTATTGATAGTGTCAATAATATTTGCAGAATTATCTATTTTCGATTTTCCTCTTTTCTCTTTCAACTTAGGATAATCTCTTTTGTAGTGACCTTCTTGCTCTAGGCTTCGATCTAGCTGTTGACTTTTTTCTATTAAAATCTTTCTGTTGTGTTCCTCCTCCACTCACAAGACCCTTGCCCTTAGTTATCCTTTCTACAAAGCTCTTTTTCAACTATTTATATGTTATTGCATTACTAACATTTTCCAGTGAAATACTATCTTTCTCATATAGCAACATATCAGCAAAAGCATCATAAGATGGTAGTAAGAACATAACACAATCATGGCCTGATCCTCACTCTCAATTTTGATATCTACGTTCTTCAGGTCCATTATAATTGAATTAAACTCATCAAAGTGAGTTTTAATAGGTGTACATTCGTTCACACAGAGATTGTATAACCTCTTTTTCATGTAAATGCGGGTTGTCATCGATTTTTCAGAATAATGTCTTTCAAACTCTTCCATGTCGTTGCTGTAGAAGTTTCTTCAGCAATTTCCCGAAGAACCCTATATGTAACCCTCATGAAGATCGTACTCAATACCCTCTCCTTCAAGTCTGCCTTCTCTCTCTCTTTTATCTCTTCAAAAAAATCCTAATCAATTGCCTTCCATAACCCTTGTAAAACCATGAATGATTTTATCCTAATCTTCCATAGACTAAAACTAGATCCCTCATCGAATTTCTCTACTTTGTATTTTGTTGAAGTGATGAAGATATTTTAAACCTAGATTATATGTAAAAATATGTACCTTGCTCTAATACCAGTTGTTGCGGAAGATCGTGCGCTAACTAGCACATTACACATAACGTAAATTGAGAAGAAAAATAACACAAGGATTTAGCGAGGTTCGGCTAAATCTAACCATCGAGGCAGCAACAGAGATAGTTTTCTATTTTGAATAAGAAGACACAATACAATCTATAGATATAGATCTCAAATAGTCCCAAACCTATAGGAGAAAGGTTTTCCCAATCCGACAAGGACAATAAGTTTTTCTTTCCCAAATTTGTTAGAACAATGAGTTTCCTAAAAATGCAAAAAAATAATCGAAGCCAAACAACCTGGATTCTGAATTATTTAGTTGAGGTCGAACTTTTTTGGATTGGTCTTCCACATAAACAAAAGAAAAAGCGCAATTAAAGAAAGGGCAAAATATAAAATTGGTCTGTCGATCGAAACTAATGGCATTCGTTAGTCAAAAAGCGTATAAAATATGTGTGTGTATATATACATATATAAAAATTTTATTGGCTATTATTTTTTAGAGCGGCTAAATGTATAATTATCTCTTAAAAAAGAAAAGAAAAGAAAAGAAAAGGGGAAGAAGTGGAAGGTAAACCAAAGCCCACACACAACTACTAACACCCTATACTCCCACCTTCCATGCCTTCTAGAAACCCTGACAAAATATATACACATGAACTCAATATCTCTCCACTATTTCTGCATTCTGGAATACCAATTATAGAATAAAGAACAATTCTTCCAAAACCTTTTTATAGTCTTACTTGTATAAGCAAGAATATGTAAGCCTATAACACTTTTGCACTGTTGTACAATCTTCACCAAATGCCCACTACAACTAACTCAACCAACAAAAAGTTACCTAACTATTATATAAAATGAAATAAAAATTCATCTATGGACAATTCGTTTTCTCTACATACTGTAATAAATTACAGTAGAAATCATTAATGAATAAAAGGTTTCTTTTTTAACAAAATATAAAAATAAAAAAATACAAAAACTAGGCAAAAGTCGATTAATTGTTAATGGTAGTTTATTTGTCTATGAATAAAAGATATAGGGTCTATCCATATCACCATAAATTAAATAGAGGTGTTAGTTCGAGCCGAAGTAGAATGATTTAATCGATATCGTTTTATTAGTAGTTCGAAAGAAACTCATTCTGGTACCTGTCATTCATATGGTTGGGAAGGATTTGGATGTAGCTAAATTATTGTAATAAAAAGTTTGGTCAGAGTTTAGATACACACGAAAAGAAAAAGGAAAAAGATGAAAAAAATTTAAAGGGATTATCTCATCACACTGTCTTTTGTCCTAACTAGAACTTTAATACCTTATTACTTACTTTATACACACCTACCTGAAGGTTACCTCTAGACTCTAGTTAATGAATGTCACATCTACTCTTCTTTTCTTTATTTCGTTAGACTCCCTTTTGAAGTACTATATCATAATCAGTTATAAATATATGGTAATAATGAAGATGTTAATATCATCAGAAAAAGAAAGAATGGACGCCAGCCACTCCCTCAAACCTATCTTACCAACTCGCATCTAGAAGCAATACCAGGGTCACTAGTTCCCCCCTCCCCCCCAACCCAAACGCAATAGTATATGGTTTCTCAAATGAATTTTACTGGCGAGTCTATTAAGAATAATAAAAACACTGTTTATCAAAAAAGTATTTTTATTCTCAAAACTTTAACCTAAGTTCTCGAGTTTTTTTTTTTTTTTTTTTTTTCCACTCAGTGTCCGATACTTACATAGGGGCCCGACTAAATTTGGATTCGCACTGGAAAGTCCCATATTAGGGGCTAAAATGTTCCCTAACAAGGCGACTCCTTAAGGATGAAGGAGTACTTACCACTCCACCATAATCCTTGTTAGTTAAAAGCTAGAGTTATAGCTTGTTTGGCCAATTTTTTTTTTTTGGGGGCCAAAAGTGCTTTTTTGGCCAAAAGACAATTGAGGTGTTTGGCGAAGCTTTTAGAAGGAAAAAAGTGCTTTTGAGAAAAAACAGAAGCAATTTTTGAGAATTACAAAAGTGTAGCTTCTCTCCAAAAAGCACTTTTCTGAGGAGTACTTTTGAGAAAAATAAATTTAGAAGTAGTTTTCGAAAGCTTGGCCAAACACTAATTATTGCTCAAAAATACTTTTCAAATTAATTAATCAAATACAAATAAACATATTTTAGAAGCTTGGCCAAACACGCTAATAAATCTAAATCATTTCACGACCAAAGCTAGACTCAAAGTGCTCTGTTTGGAGAGAGTCAAAAGGCTATAAAACCCCATCTCAAAGTCCTTAAAGGCCGGCCTTGGTTCTTAAGCACCACTAAAGCTAAACTTCCTCTTCTTCTACTACTGCTTGAACAACAAACCCCACCCACCTTTCCATCTCACAACAACGAAAAATAGGGGGGGAAAAGAAAACATATCAAACCAGGAACAAAAGTTAGTTGTAGTGGATTCCATATGGGAAGATCACCTTGCTGTGAGAAATCACATACAAATAAAGGAGCATGGACTAAAGAAGAAGATGAAAGGCTTATAGCATACATTAAAGCTCATGGCGAAGGCTGTTGGAGGTCACTTCCTAAAGCTGCTGGACTTTTGAGGTGTGGCAAAAGTTGCCGTCTCCGATGGATTAATTACTTGAGGCCTGATCTCAAACGTGGTAATTTTACTGATGAAGAAGATGAACTCATTATTAAACTCCACAGCCTCCTCGGAAACAAGTGAGTAATGTTATTTTTTCAAATTATATTCCCAGAAATTACATAAAATAGTGCTTCATTACAAATAGTTTTTAAATATTTTAACTATTGTGACTTATAGTACTTTTTATGTAATTGCTAAATATATAAATTTTATTTTAAAACACATGAAGAATCTATGTGGGAATTATACCAATTAGCTAAATATGTTCAAAGAAATTAGAATACTTTTACGATCATGTGGAAATGTCAGCAGATTTAGAGCCTGTTTGGCCATGAAATTTTTTTTCAATTTTTTTGAAAAATTGTACTCTTTTTTTTTTTTTTAAATCAGCGTTTGGCCATAAAATTTTTAACTTTTCAGTTGCATATGAATCGAAAATTTAAAAACTCCAAAAATCTATTTTTTAAAATTTTCACTCAAATTACTAATTTTTCCGTTTTCTATATTTGATAGGTGGTCGCTTATAGCAGGAAGACTACCGGGAAGAACAGATAATGAGATAAAAAATTATTGGAATACTCATATAAGGAGGAAACTGTTGAGTCGTGGTATTGATCCTACAACACACAGGGCTATAAACGAGTCTAGCACACAAAGAGTCACGTCAATTTCTTTTACCACTGGGAATTATAAAGATATTGAAGATGAGAAGATGAACATTAAAGCTGAATTTGGAACAATCAAGGAAGATGAAATTAGTAGCAGAGCACAGTGTCCTGATTTGAATCTTGAGCTCAGAATTAGCCCTCCTTACCAACAAAACCAACAGAAGAGGGCATTGGAACAGAGTAGTACTGGTTCGTGGAGGATTAGCCCTATATGTTTTAAATGCAATTTAGGATTAAAGAAGAGTAAAGATTGCAGTTGTAGTGACAGTAGTAATGGAAATGGTTGCAGCAGTAGCAGGAATACAAGTATGAATATTGCTGCTTATGACTGTCTAGGATTAAAGACAAATGGTTTGGACTACAGAACCTTGGAGACTAAGTGACCCTCATTTGGCTGACTTGAGTATTTCCAATCCAAAAAAAAAAAAAAAGAAAAAAAAAGAGAGTATATAATAGTACTATTACATTTTAAAAGCAGTATATGGGTGTACCTACAAAACATAGATGTGGTAGTTTTTGTTTCAGTAATTGATTTTGCAGTCATTTGATAAATCTTTCTTCACTTTCAATTTGAATTTGCTTATTTTAAGTACTTATTGGCTTTTAAGCACTTTTTTAATTTGTGTGGTGTTTGACAATGATAAAAGTGCTTAAAAATACTTACTTTTAGGTATAAAAAGTACAAAAATAAGCCAAAAGCCAAAAGTTGGGTATTACCAACTTGTGGCTTTTGGCTTTTAGTTTAAAAGCTACTTTTTATAAACCAATCCAAACGCCCTCTTAGTCGTCGTAAGAAGAAAAAACATTTCATAATTCTCCATTGTTTTTAGCTTCTTTTTTCTTTGGCAAAATACATAAACGGCCCCTTGAGGTTGTCCTCAACGACTGGCTGAACACCTCAATTGACCCCTTTATCATTTAGACACTTCAAGTTTCTATTACTCAGATCAAGTAAACACATGTCACTGATGTGGTATATGCGTGATTGCTAACCAAATTTTGAGCGCGTGATACATTTTTGCAGCCTAATTTTTTTTTAAAAAAGAAAAAACATGAAACAGCTCAGCTTAGCCTCTCTTCTTCTTTCAAGTGCAACCCACCATGAAACCACCATAGCTTCCATGAAAATCAGTCACTAAAGCTCCAACTAAGCCACCTTAAATCACTAAAAAATATTGCCTTTCATCAAAAAACTTACTGCCCATAACCTCCAGAGCTTCGCCTATATCTGTCGAGCCAAAACTAATCCCGAGCTAGCCGAAAAAAGCAGCAAAATTGCAGCAATAATAGCTGCGAAAAACCACCAAATCTCCACTAGATAAACACCCTTTTTCATCTAACAATACCTTCATTCCAACAGAAACACACAAACAACAACCAATTATTTGAATCGACCGATAATTTCACACCAAAAATAATAAATTAGAGAAAGAAAAGTGAAATAAGCCCAAATTCGTGACCAAAAAAATGACGGAGAAAGAAGACTGAACATTCCAGTAGAATCGTTTCTTTTGGCTTTGCTTGGAGGTCAATTTTCCGGTGAAAGAGATGAGCTTTTCCCGACGAGGTCGGTCAATGATTCCATAGTGGATTCTCTGCTTTGGCTATTCTCTTTTGTTTCATATTTGTATTAGTTTTATGGAAAGATTTAGATTTAAATTTCAAGTATGGATGGATAAATTTTGAGTATAGGGCATGTTGGAGAAGAAGTGGGAAGGGGAAGGGGTCTAATTGAAAGATATGTGTTTAATTAGTTGGATGGAGAGTGGATTAGGGAAAAGGGGAAGGAGACACAGAAGAAGGGCATAAGGAAGAAGATGAATGGGGGTGGGGGTGGGGGTAGCGCTGGTTTTGGTTCTGGAAGGAAGAAGATGAAGTGTGGGGGGGCTGCTTTGGTTAATAGTGGGGGGAAAAGATTTATTTCTTCTTTAAATTCATTTTCTTTCTTTTTTAAATTATAAGTGTTAAGTTTTAATTATAAATTACACGTGTCGTTCATTAATTGATTCATTTGACATATCATTGACAAGTGTAACTCACATATCTGGTCTGTTGCACTAGGGTGTCTATTTAATTTACTTAATAGTCACTTGAAGTGTCTAAACGAAAAGGGGTCAATTGAGATATTCAGCTGGTCGTTGATGAAGACAACTTCAAGGGGCGATTTATGTATTTCGCCTTTTTCTTTTGTCTCATAATAGTTGTGAACCTTAGAATTCCGATAAAGGTCCTCTGACCTCTGGTATAAGGAGATTGTGATTTAATATTTTTGTTTGTTTTTCTTTTTTACCGGTTTCTAGTTTTAGCAAAAGCAAACAAACACTAAAAATTATAGATACAGCCTTAGTTTTTTTTTAATTAGTTCATCCCGACATGAATGAAACCTTTTTAATTTAAAAATAATATAACTTGAACTTTTCATCTTATTATTTAATGACTAGCTTTTATAGTTATACAAATCTTATGGCATATTTAATACCATAAATTTTTAAAAATTATATAATCTTACAAATAGTATAACAAATTTAAAATCGTAAGTTTGTTCTTTGTTAAATATCATGATCGATAAATTATGGTAGATTGAAACAGATAGAGTATGTATTTGGAGGTTGTGTTCTTTTTCATTTCTAAAAGATCTTATAGTTTAATATAAATACATCTCATGCTGATGAGTCTCTGATATACGTGTGAGGATATGTATATGGACGCTAGTTGATTCATATGATGAATAAAGAATTCGAAGGCCTAACTTAGGCTATTTTTTGTTCATTACGTTAATTATCCTTTTCTCATATTTTAGATTATGTAACAACTTTTGTCCTCTTCAAAGGAAAATATTCCCTTTTTTTTTTGTTTGTCTTATGGAATTATTTTGCAAATGAGGAGGTAAGGAGAGATGTAGAGTGGGAAGGGAAGTGGATAAGTAGTGAGAGGATGAGAAGGAAAGAATGAGGGAGGAGGTTGGTAACCTATCTCTTCCATTATATTATTGTAATTGATATAAAGTGCCTTTAAAATAAGAGAAAATGCGTGAAGGAACTAACAACTTTGTCTTTAGTACCATTCCTCTACCTACCTAACAATTATTATCCCAAACGTGAGCTAACCAAACCAAATCAAACACCCCCCCCCCCCCCCCCCCTACCCCTCTCGCTTTTGGATAGCCCCCTCGAAGGCGGATCCAAAAATTTAATGTTATGTCTTTATAACGAACTCAAATTAATACTTTAATAATACTTAAATCACGGGTCAATTGATTTTTTTTGGCTCCTACACATAAGAGATCTAAAAAGGTCATTTTCTTAATTAAAATTGTAAAGGGACATGATGTACAAATAGCACCTTAACAGCTTGTTTGGATGGTTGTTACCTATTGTATTGTATCGTGTTGTTACTTTAAATACAATGTTTGTTTTGATTGTTACATAAATTTTATTGTATTGTATCGTTAAATCCGTCGTTACGTAACGATGAAATGTGCCACTTAATATAACGACCGATTTGGTGTGGTCACATCCTTACTGTCTTTTTCTCTCAATCTCACCCTTCATTGTTATTAAATAATTTTATTTTATCATTTACCCTATCTTTTTTATATACCGTATCATAATTTTTCTTTTTAATATTGCAAGTTTATTCATCATATTACTGGTGCGTGATACCATGAAACGACGACAGAACGACACATTCTATATAAATATTGTATTCATCAAACGATACAGTACAGTACAATACAATACGATACGATACATTCTGAAACGATATGTAACAACCATCTAAACAAGCTGTAAATCACAATCAATTTCTTTCTTTTTCTATATATATATGTGCAATAGTATCGAATTCATGTGAACCTCATAACGAGCCTCTACATCTCCAGGGTCCTTCTCCTACTTCTCTTAGCGACCCTTTCTCTATGTATTTATGTTATATACATTTGATAGTGTAACAATTTTCTTATACTATTAGGGGTCGTTTGGCATGAGGTATAAGTAGATTTAATGCTGGTATAAAAATTTAATACCACCGTAATATTTTGTTTGGTTAGCGAATCTGGTATAAGTAATTTCGGGATTAAAATTAGTACCGGGAATACTTGTACCTTGTAGGGGATGGGGTAATTAGTGCCAGGATAGCTTATACCTTTATCTTAGAAATTATGCAAATGTCATTTTTAATACAACATACCAAACAGTGGATAAAAAATTATAACGACCCGACCGGTCGTTTTGAGCATTTGCACTTCGCTCAGTCGTTTGAGGGCATAAGTAGCTCCGTATGATGTCTTATGACTTATATGAAACGTCGATTTTGGTTTCAGGTTATTCGGAATTGATTTGGAAGAATAATTCTCAGCTTGAAGCTTTAAATTTGAAAGTTTGATCAAGTTTGACGTTTTTTGAAATTTACCTCGAATTGGATTTTTGATTGTTCCGTTAGCTCCGTTGGGTGATTTTGGACTTATGAGCGCGTTCGGATCGTGATTTGGAGGTCCGTAGTGGAATTTGGCTTGAAATGGCGAAAGTTGGAATTTTGAAAAAGTTTGACCGGGAGTGAACTTTTTGAAATCGGGGTCGGATTCCGATTCCGTAAGTTGGAGCAGGTCCGTAATGTCAAATGTGACTTGTGTGCAAAATTTGAGGTCAATCGGACGTGATTTGATAGGTTTCGGCATCGGTTGTGGTAGTTAGAAGTTTCAAGCTCATTATTTTGGAATTGAGGTGTAATTCGTCGTGTCGATATTGTTATGTCTGCTTTGAGGCCTCGAGTAGGTCCGTGTGATGTTATCAGACTTGTTGGTATGTTTGGATATGGTCCCGAGGGGTTCGGGTGAGTTTCAGACGAGGTTCAGATCATTGTTCTTCATATTTTCATTGCGGAGGAGCTATTGGTTCTGGTGTTTCCGCACCTGCGACTGATATTCCGTAGGTGCGATGGCCGCAGATACGAGCCAAGAATCGTAGATGCGAGTTTTTGCTGAGGGGTAGAGGTCCGCAGAAGCGTGACCGCATGTGCGGTCCTGGCCATCGCAGAAACGGTTTTCTCGCAAATGCGAGTTCTTTATTCGGAGAAGCGACATTTTTACCGCAAATGCGGAAATTGCTGTGCAGAAGCTATAGAATCGAGGCTTTGGTTATTTCTTCATGTTTTGAGATGTGGGACTCGGATTGAGGCGATTTTTTGGAGCAATTTTCATCACAAGGATTGGGGTAAGTGTTCTACACTCACTTCTGATTAAATTTCACGAATCTATCTTCATTTTAGGCAATTGGTTGATGAATTTAAAGAGGAAATTGGGGGTTTTGACCTAAAATTTCATAATATGAATTTTTGAGTGTTGAACACCGATTTGGAGTCGGATTTGAGTAAAACTAGTATGGTTGGACTCGTAATTGAATGGGTTATCGGATTTTATGAGTTTGGTCGAGTTCCGAGGCATGGGCCTGGGTGTAATTTTTGGCCGAATTTGGGATTTGATATAGAATTCGATCTTTATCAGTTGTAATTGCTTCCTTGGGCTTCATCTGATGTATTTGAGTTGCTTTTGGCTAGTTTTGAGCC